AGGCAGTACAAGGCATTGTTGAGTACTTCTCACAGATTTTACCACTTAACCATCACCAGCATCTCAGCCGGCCTTTGGGAGGGCTTACGTTACCTAACTTCCATTATGTAAATACGGGCAGTAATAAATGAGAGTCTGTCTTCTAATCTTACACTGATTTTACAAAGCACATTTAGACTATTGGCGTTTAGACTATTTAGGAATTCTGCGTATATAAGCTGGTCACTTTTAAGGTATTTAGAAGAAAAATAATAACAATAATAAAAGTTACATTCCGGTTAAAACGAAATGTTTATTGCACTTGGCAAAACGATAAGGCTGAACTACAACTCCTAACTAACAAAGAAACCACAAAACGCAGCCACCAGCAACCTAGTGTTGGGAAGTGTTTTGTGCAATGGCCGTAGGTCCACTTTCAAAAGGAAAAAGGGCAGGTGGCTGCCCAGGAGCGGTCAAGCTTTCTTTCTAGTAACTGCTCCAATCTTGGGTACGCCTCACATTACTCCACATGCCCTCGGGATGGGAGGCAGAAATGCAGGCAACAAAGTCACCGTGAAAGCACGTGTTCTGGAAGCCTTCGTAAAGGAGATCCCCTCCCTGGGGCCTGGGGGTTTTGCGGGAGGGGCAGAAGTCTGAGAAGCCAAATCAGCTGAGGAGGGTGCTAGGGCACCCCTCCCCAAGACAGTGCATGGCTCTCCTGATTGTGGCCCCGATGGAGCTGCTGGGTGACAGTGTCCCACCTGGCCAGCTGGGGCTCTGATGCCTTAAAACACATGTGACGTTAGGCAGTCCTCGCTGTGCCCCAGTTTCTTCACGTCTAAGAAGGACCACTTGCACCTTCTCCATGAATGCATGTAAAAATGCTTGCCATGGTACTCGGCATACAGTTAAGTGCTCAATAAATGTTGGTCATTATTATTATGATCTCTAAGGAAGATGATATTGAAAATGTTTCCTGTAAATGAGAGTATGATGGGCATCCAATACACATTTCAGGGAAACAGCCTTGTGAGATCACTTATATGATGTGCAGTAGGATGGACAAATACTCTCCACCTAAAACATTTCTATGAAATTATGCTATTTCTTTACTACTTTGGGATTAACTAATCTTCTTTAAGATCTGTATTTTATTAGATGATATATCTATCTATATCTATCTATATAACTATGAAAGAACCAGACTGCATAAAATTAGCAAAATAGAGACTAGGAAGGAAAAACCCTCATAAACCCACGAGAGAACTTAAACAAGTCAGAAAGTGCAAATAAGTAAGAGGTTTGCTTACATACTTGGTAAAAGAAAATGTTCAACTCAATACATGAGGAAAAAAAACAAATTTAAGGGGTGTGGGCATAAAAGAGAAATAGAAAGTCCATCTCTCAGAATAAGAGGGTAAATATTTAGTCAAGACTCAGATAGAATTTCAGTAAACAGATTATTTCAATGGAAAATTTCCAACCTGAGAGCAAATACTTTAAGACGGGTTTAAAGTGAGCATGAAAGCGCCCTGCCCCACGGCCCGGCCCTAGCCTGGAACAGCCTCTGAGTCCTTGTGGCCATTCGGCTTTTTCTTCCTCATCCCCCCATCTCCATCAGAGACCGTCATTTTCTTTTCAGCAGGAAACTGATATATATTAACGACGACAGCTGGATTCGGAGGAGGAAAAAGAATACAGGGGACAGAGAGGCCTTGTGGGTTTAAATCACTTTACAACTCAAAACAAAACCTCCAGATTTGGAATTTTTAAAACCTAGTTAAAGGCTGAGAAAACCTCAAATGATTGGGAAGTACTAAGATAAAAGTTTGAATTACACAAAACACACCATTATCTTAAGCTTTTCTAATCATCCTCCCTTGCCTTTCCCCTTCACTGCTTTCCTCATTGTTTATGCCCCCAGCCCTTCAATGTGGTTCTGAGATATTTCATAGGTAGGAATAGCCTTCCAAGGTCACTCACAAAATAGCGTTTGTAAGGAGATGGGCAGATCTGCCTCCATCCAAAAAAATTTCCCTAAAATTGATGTTGCTTCACTTCATTGGAAATTTTTCATCTTCATATTTAGATATATTTATCGTACATAAATACATGAGTAAAACAGAATTATATTGTGTAAAATTAGATTAGTAAGAGGGAAAATAAGAAGGAAACTCCCTCCCCCCACACCCCAGCCTTAACCCCAACACTGTAGAACAACCACTTTCAACACTGTGTTGCCTTTTCAGTCTAGTCTGGTCCTCCACTCCTCTCCCCCACCTCCAAACCCTTAATGCTGCTGATCACAATGCCTGCATGTATCTCCCTGAAATTCTGTGAATGCATTTTCACTTACATTCTTTTCAGTGACAGTAGGAACTTGGCTTCATAAGGGTCTTCATAAGCACTTGTTCTGGTGATGCAAAGCACACTTGTTACATCGGGCTTTGCATGTACCAGCTGACAACCACCCTGCCATACAGATCCTATTGTTATCCCCGTTTACAATTGAGAGCAGCTGTCTCAAAGAGGTTAAATGACTTGCTGAGGGTCACAAAGCAAGTAAATGGCAGACCTGGGAAGGAAACCCAGAAATTTGGCTTTAGAGCCTATATGGTATACTCCCTACTCGGAGTTTCGTGAACCGATAATGGTGGTAGATATATACATATTTACAAATATATACTCATGATATAAACATCTGATTTGAATTCAGAAAATGAATTTAAACCTGACTGATACATGAATTTAAATGAGACTTCTATCTTGAGGGCAACTGTTACAATTCTGAAAACTGAGGAAAACTCTGCATTTCAATCATTTAATAAAAAAAACATTTAATGAGAGCCTGCTATGTGCTTTGCTCGGGGACAAAGAATCTAAGGCATGACACACTCACTCATAGAGACAGACACACACACACACACACACACACACACACCCACCCATACATCCTGTGGTTTATGAGGGCAATTCCCAAAGGGCGAGGCAAATCAGTACTTGTCCGACAGGAATATAGTATGAGCCATATATGTAACTCTGATTTTCTATTGGCCACATTTTTAAAAGCGAAGAGAAACCAATGAAATTAATTTTAATAATACATTTTATTTAATACAATATATCAAAAATATTATTCTGACACGTAATCAATATAAAAAGTCAATGACAAATTTTACTTTTTTTTCCACACGAAGGTGTGTATTTTATTCTTACAGAACACCTCAGCTGAGATCGGCCACGTCTCAAGCGCCCAAGAGACACACGCAGCCAGCGCAGCGGGTGCTGGGAGAGACGCTCGGACCGCTGCCCTCGGGTAAGAGTAAAAGTGCCCTGCCCTCCACATCTCACTCTGCGGTCGTGACTCTAAAGGGAAGGATACACTAATGCAAGTGAAATACTTCTGAGGAATAAATGAAAGCTTATGATCACATCTGGGGTATAAACTCTAGATAATGTGAGTTTGGAGGAAAGTGATTCAAAATGGCCAAAGTCATCTTTATGGAGGAGCGAAAGGACAGGCAATCGGAGAAAAGAGGGTGTTTTACAACATTCGAGGGCTGACCCTTCCAGACAAGGGATAAATAATGGTGCTATACGTCAAGAAAAGCTTCATTCGACTAAACTTATGAGTATGGCTAACCATACAACTGACAGGATCCCTCTGATTGGGCTTGTCAATAGTAAGCAAGTCTTTCACGACCAAGGCCTTTTAGATACTAAGCAGAGAAGTATTATAAAGCTATACAGAAACTGGATTGAAATACAAAATGGTGGAAACCCAAAACAACTTACCTCTGGCAACATCTTACGTATAACCTCTGGACCTCCGTTAGCTCAAGTATAAAACACAGCAGACACAACCTCAAAGTCTCTTATCGCTAGTGTGCCTGTAATTTATTGTGCAAACCTGGACACTTTCAAGAGCGAAAGGGGGGCACTATTAATAATTACGAGGAATAAACTAGGACTGTTTTACAGCCGTAAAACTCTATGATCCCATTCCACCAAACGGATACAACCGCTGCCCGTACGGAGGGACACAGAGCTGATGAAAGTCCAGGCATGTTCTTACTGCCTCCGCATGGCCACAGGGGCTTTGTGGGCTAATGTGCATTGATCCGGGTGAGGCAGTTTCGCACCTCCCCCTCAAAGCATTTTAAATTGGTTTGAATTTGGGAACAGGGTTCCATCTGGACAGAGCTGGACTCTGACAGCCTGAATATATTTACTGAAGACAACAAATCATTGACAGACTAAATTTAACAGAGGAAAGGCCTGGCCTGCTTGTACTCAGAATCTGACTTTGTAATTGTAGCCTCCTTTAGACAGGCCTAATCAATTAGAAGAGGCTGATTTTAACCAGTTGCAGGCTCATTACCCTGCATTCCAGTTTGTGTTGACGAAAATCAGTTTCAGTCTGTGGCCTGGAACTCATGTACAGCACTTCCTGTGGCCTCTTATATAAACACATCAAAACATTTTTTTTATTTGGAGTTGCCCTTCTCCCTTTTAAGAAAACCACTTTGTGAATCATGATTAAAATAGAACAATTGTATTTGGATCTGGGGCCCATACCAGGAAACATACATGACCAGGGAATATGGATAAAGTCAGAGCTTAAAGAAGCAAGGGCTGGATCTCCGCCAGTAAATGGGTCCCACTCAGGTATCTCCACAGAGCCAAACAGAAAGAACTCTCAGTTATTAAAAATGATGGCCTTTCAAAGAAAATGCTGAAATAATAAAGAACCAAGGTCTTAGAAACCCAGAGGTTATCTGAGTCCACTCTTCCCCGAAAGACCAAACAGAAAATAAACAGCGACCTTCCAACTAAACAAGGACGTGTTTCCCTGAGAAGCTCCTATGAGGAAACCATATGGCACTATGTTTAATTCTGATGTGTGGTTTAGTCTCAAAAGTAGAAGGTAGGGGAGAGTGTGTGGTAGAGGCACTCAAAACCCCACCTACATTTCAAAGACCTGTAACCATTCCAAAATATGATATAACTATGAATCATACCTGGCCAGTTGCCTTTTGTGGGTTTGTCAAGGCAGTGAGTCAACAGGAAGAGAATATCAATATACACGGCTCTGGTCACCAAACATGGATTTTGCCTAGAAAGGTAAAGAACAGAAAATAAATTGGTATTTTCTCTCCTTGAGTCCTGGGTCACAGAAAAGAGAAAACGGGTATTTTCTACCAGGCATGTCATGAAACTTAGGGAGTTATAGCAAATGCTAAAAAAGAACAGATACTCACTCATGGTGAGACTACATCAGTAAGTCAAGCAGGAAAAAGAAACCCTAAAGCACATGACAGAGGTCAGGCCTAAGCTTGTACAAAATGCAAGACAGCTCTATACTCTGGCTCCAAATAAAATAAACTGAAAGCAAACAAAACCAACATCCTATCCAAGTTGCCTGAAAACAAGGAGAGGGGGTAGGAAGGCAGGGGAGAGCCATATTCTTTTATTTTGTTCTTAAGTGAACACATTCAGGGGAAACTGCACTTACATGACGAACCGTATCTATGGACCTAAAAGTGACCAGCTGGAAACCACATGAAAGCACAGACAACACTGCGACCCGCATTCCCAAGATATGGAATATTTTCTTCTCCCAATAAATGGAGCAGTTCGTTGTGCTCTTTGACCCCCACACTGGAAAAAGGTAGTGGGCTCGGATTTAGGGGTCCGGATAAAAAAGGAAGAATGAGGATTTTCTTTTGAGAATGGCACTAAGGTCCCTGGCTCAGAGCCTCAGATCATCCTGACCGTGCATGAAAAGGGACCCGACCTCCTTGGCGTACTCACAATTCAGCACAAGTGGTAAAAACAGTAGGGACAGATGAGGGTAGGGTTCAAGGCCTGGCGCAGCAAACTAGAATGGCTTTGAGTGTTCACTGCCTGCCCATCTCTGCTTCTGACAGGAGACCGGGGAATGGCACTGGCATCCTGGCTAGTGCATTTCCACTTCCTGATCTCGAAACCCATCCTTCTCATTTCCTGTGAAATAGGCGCACCATTTCTCTGAAGTTTATTCCGCTCTGTCCTGAACTGCCCAGATCCTAGGGCTGCCATATGTTCTAGCGCAGACAGCAAATCGGGTACTTTTGAACTAAAACCAAACTGTCTTGCTGCGTTTGAGGTTCTCTCTGTTGCTGACCTGCCTCATTTCTGTCCCACTGACTGACTCCCCCCAGTCCTTCCCTGCCATAACTTCTAGTTTATGTGTACACCTCATGCCTGGCCTAATTTTGTAACTGCGCCAGGTTATTTTTTCAAAATTAATTTTAAAATACAGGTAACACATGCACATGATATAAAAATAATTCAAAGAGTAAAAAACGGTGCAGTATGAAAATGAAGTTGCTTCCCATGCCCCCGCCCTCTCTGCCCGTAACCTGCCCCCCGAGGCAACCACTATTACCACTTACTATGCCCTTCCAGGTCCGTCCTGTTCATTTACAAGCACTTATCTGGGGCCACCTGCTTGTTTATTTTTATACAAACAGTGACCGACTATATAGAGTCAGTCCTAACTTAATGTTGTCAATAGGTTCTGAGACTCTCAGTGAAAGGTGAAACCAGTTTTACCAGAGGCTCCCAGACACAACAGGGGTTCCCGCAGCATCCCATCGACGTGGCAACGTGACGGCAGTGAAGGAAGCAGCAGTGCCGGAGGACCTGCTGTGCTAACTCCTGAGCGATATTATTTTTTTGCTAATACATTTTGGATGTCGTTCTATTAAAAAGATAGAGATTTGCCTCATTATAGAAAATGGCTGTAAACTGTTCCATTTCATGGGTGTGCCGATCCTCTATTGAAATGACTCAGACTGTTTAGGGTACTTTGCCAAAAGCAATGCTCTAATAAATATACCTGTGTATCAGGTTTGTGCATATCAATGAGGACTCAGAGAGGAAATTCCCAGAAGCTGAATTGCTGGATCAAAATATTTGCACATTCAAAATTTTGATTGACTTTGACAAGATGCTTTTCCAAGAGACCGTACCAACTTACACTTTCGCCAACAGTGTGTAAGAATTCTGGCTTCCCCATGACCTGGCCAATGCAGTGTGTTGTTAAATTCTGACTTTTGCCAACATGAGAAGAGAAAAATACTATCTCATTATTTAAAATCACAATCATTTTATTATAAGTGAGGTTGAACATCACTTCATATGCTTTTCAAAAAAGATACTTTAATTTCCTTTTCTGTGAACCGTATTCAAATTCCATGTACATGACATTATATTGGTCTTAGTGATTTGTAGGAACTCTGTATATTAAGAAAATCTGCTTTGCCACATATTATAAATGTTTCTGTAGTTTATCATTTCTTTTAACTTTGTTTATAATGTTATTTTGCAGTTCAAAAATATTTAGTGTTATGTAGTCAAATACATTAGTTTTTTACTTATGTCTCCTGGGTTTTATGTCATGCTTACAAAGCCCAACCCTTCTCCAAACTTTTATTTATATATGTATTTTTAAAATGTTCCTCATATTTCCTTCCAGTACCTTGCAGTGCTATGATTTGCTGTTAAATACTTTTATCTATTTGAATTTTTTACCCCCACTCCTGCCCCTCCCTTTCGTCTCTATCTGGCTCCCCCGGGTCTCTGGACCGTAACTTCCTATCCTTACTCCTCTACCCACTGTGAGAAGCCCAGAGTCGACGAAAACTTCTTTAATGACATTGGTTCGCAATTCCAGCATTTCCACTGTTTAACAGGCAGGAAGGACCTCCTCTACCAAAGAAAGGGCTACTCAAGAAAGAAAAGAAGAAAAGCCAAAGCAGGGGTAATGGTATCAGATAGCTAGCACAGGGCTGAGTAAATGACTGCAGAAAGCAGGTGGATTGCCTCCTGAGCATCCAGCTTGAAGTCAGATGCTGGAAGGGGATACACGAGATGATTTCTGACCTCAGAGAAGGTTGTACAGTTACACAGAGACAAAAATAAAGTCAAGCTTTGGGAAAGGATATACGGAGTTAAGCACAAGAAGAAATCAGGGTGGACAGGAGAGATGAAACGTATTTATGAAGATCAAATTCCAACTGGGCCCTGAAGGACGGGAAGAATTTAGAAAAACAAAGTTGACAAGGAAGGTCATTTTAAGAGGGGCAATAGATGTGGACTGGAATTAGTCTGGCTTGTCTAGGGACCTGGGGAGACCAGATTGGGAAAATGAAAGAATGTGTTGAGAAGGAGGGAACAAGAGCAAGACAAGCAGGCCTTCAGAAGATGCTTCGTATTAATTAGATGCCTCTTAAAATGCAGTGCCCACTCCCATGTGGCCTCAGAGAGTCACAGCTTCTCACCCTGGATGTTTTTCTGTCTGTGGAACCACAAAGGGAAGTGTTAGGGGAACTGGTTTGACTTGCAAGTCTGATGAGGATCTTAGTTTCCCTGAATTTTTTAGCTAAATTTTTTTTAAACTTCTAAACGAATACAGAAAAGTTTGGCAATCTTTAAAACTGCCAGGCTGAAGTATTTATTCTGCATCTACTCCTGACCTGGACCAGGCTGGTGACCTGGGACACTCCAGGGACCACTTGGACTGCACCCAGAATGTGAGGTTCTGCGCCAAGTCTGAGGTAGTCCATGAGATCAGGGAGGCTCCCTCAAATGCTGCTGCTTTTGATTCCATAAAACAGAGAGGATCCGGGCCACTGAGGAGTCCATCCGTGGCTTCTCCTTGGAGACTGACTCAGAAAGAGATTCTGGCATGCAGCCTGCCATTCATGGCTCCACCCTTGAGCTCCGCCACAGCCGCAACCACAGCCACACAACATCCCTGTCTGGAGTCGGAGCTGGCTTCACTCTGGACTGGCTTCTAAGTCAGGAAAATAAGTTTTCGCTCTCTCTTTTTCTCACTATTACTTGGTGTTTGTTCTGACTTGGAAAAGGTACACTGTGAGTGCAGGGTGAGCCAGAGGTTTGTTCTCAGTCTGTCAAGCCACTTTGATGATGGGAATAAAATCCTGGGAAGGGCAAGCCAGCTGGACAGGAAACCAAGCCACAAGGTTTTGGTGGGCTTGGGGCTTTTTTCTACCCCCAAATGGAAAAACCCTGGCATGGGGCATGGCACAGTGAAGATTTAGTGTTTTAGAAAACCTGCAGTGGTCTGGGTCTAACAGATGGGCTGCAAAACAGCGTAACAGTGGCTTCAGAGGAGCAGCAGGAGGCAGGTACCATGAGGATGAAGTTTACGTACATAAAATGAAACAAAGGGCTTGTTAAGAGTCTTGCTTCCTTCCACTTTTTTATCATTTGTCTCTTGACAAATATCTGCCCGAGAACCTGATTAATACGTTTCTGCCTTGGGAAATCTCTGAACTTCATTAAACCTCCTGCCCTCTCTCCTGGAAGTTGTGGGGAGGTAGAACACAGGGCAGAGGGAGCAGGGCTTCCCAGACACGTCCACAATGGCTCCAGTGTCTAGAGGACAGCAGGGGCTCTCGGGAAGTCTGTGATAAATTATTCACTTCTCCCGTCCCTTCCGGAATCCCAGTGGCTGCAGAGCTTTTTAACTGAGGACCATTCATTCAGAAAACATTTACCAAGGGACGACTAAGAACCAGGAATAGTGCCAGTGTTTGGAAATATGAAGATGAAATGATTCAGAAACACAGTCACTGCCCTCAAGGAACTTCGAGTCCTGAACAGTGTTTTTCAAACTATAGGTTATGACCAATTTTGTCGGTTATGCAATCAACTAGTGGGTAGTGACCAGCATAAGAGGAAGGAAGGAAAGAAGGAATGGAGGGAAGAGGTAAGGTGAGAGAGGAAGGAAGTGGAAGGACAGAGCAAGCTAGGGAAGGGCGGAAGGAGAAAAATATAACCGGAGTGCACCAGAGTCACAAAGGTAGCACTGTTTCCTTAACTTGTAAAGTCCGGGCCCAGAATACATTTGTAACACATTTAATAAAATATAAATGCAATAATTTTAAGTGAAAATGTTGATTGATTTGTTTTAACTCATTTCTTTTTCTTTTCCAGGTAATAAGCTACCACCCTACGTTATACTAAATGGTATCAGTAGGGTTATGCTTGGTATCCGAAATGATAATGGATGTGTTGAGACAGAACATTCCTGAAATTAAATAT